AAGGTTTATGGGGAAAAAAAAAAATTAAAAGGTAGTATCCTTAAGAAAAAATAGTATATCATTATTATTTGTGGGACCTGGGAAATTTAATCCAAGTCTTAATGTAATTCCCTCATCTCCCAAACTGTCAGGATACTTACTATCTGCCCAGCCAACCTTCCAGCACTGCTTTGATAATCAAGACAGGCACCTACCCTAGACTTCAGGAGGCAGACAGGTGGAATCCCAGTTAGAATTCTAACAGGGAAGATGACTGATGGCTTTGATTATAAAAATTTTTATAACATGCTTTATAGACAAGGTGAAAATGATGGGGGGGTGGGCGAGCCAAGGTGAAGACTCGATAATGTTGAAACCACAATGTTGTTCATGTGAAATCTCCATAACATTGTATATCAATGATACTTTAATTTAAAAAAAAGAATAAAGTCAAGAAAGCTCACTGAGTTACAGTACCTTACTAGACTTTATATTCCCTGGCTAGCACAATATTTGAGACATAACATGTATGAAACAAACAATTCTTGAATTTAATTGCTTAGGCACAGCAATATAGCCTTAATAAATTCCAGAGAAGAGGAATTTAATTGCTTAGTTTCAGCAGTATTGCATTAATAAATTCTAGAGAAAAAACAGTAACTCTCTCTCCCCACCAATTGTCCTTCTTGTCTCTGTCAAGTTTATCAAAGCTCCAAATAAGGCAGAAATCACAAAAGAGACCTTGGGAACTCTGTGTAAGATCAAGTTTCCGGGGTCAGGTAAAGAATCTTTAGTTTTCAGAGAGCTCACCTACAAGATTAGTTCAGAAATAGACCAGTAATGCAAGAGAAGCTCTGCAAAAAGGGAGCAGTACTAAAACACTAAAGCACGGCAATGTCACAATTTTCAAATAAGAAATCAATTTCCAAAAATGTCCATCGCAGCCAAAACTCTAGAATGGGTAATAAACAAATATATATGTATGTTTGTGTGTGTGTGTGTGTGTATTTTTATAGGTTATATATATATACATATATATAATCTCTAAAATGTGGTGATCCTTCAGAGACAACATGGTTCTCAAAATAACTCATGTTATATTATTCCCATTATCTTTTTGACTGGGTTACCATGAAAAAAAAATAAATTAAGCACCAATCTACCTTTCAACAGCAAATATTTATTAAACAAATATGTGCCTGGCACTGTGCTAGGAGGTTTACATATAATGGCTCTCTAACCACAATAAAATCCAATGAATAAGAATCATTTTATAGATTAAGAGCCAGCTTACAAACATTTGAATAACCTACCAAGATCATGATGGCTATGAGGCAGGAGCCAAATTCAAACCCAAGTCTAACTTCAAAGTTGTGTACCTTTTTACCATACCATATGGCCTCCTAATGCAGAAACACAGTGCTGCAACCAGGTGATAAAGTATCTCACGATATTCCCTGTGGGCAAGATTGATGTAGCTAGGACAAAAAAGCCAGGAGGCCTGTAATGCTGAAGTAACTATTTTCATTAAAGGCTTTGTGTCTACTAGGTAGTACCCCACAGCGGTCAGTGTTAAGCTGTTTTTTGCTCCATTATCATAAATACGCACAACACCCCATTAATAACTGTTTGTCACTCAAGGGGAAGGAGGGCTGTGGCCCATACTCAGTCTAAAAACGTCTCCACCCTAAGGTTCTGCACATCTAAAGAAAAATATATCTCTGGTCATGCATCACTGGACTACAGTCAGACTTGGTGGAATATCTTGGCCCCATCTCTCAAAGTCCTTCAAAGTCTTTAACAGCCTGTTGAGAACACTGAAGACATTCTTACCAAATCTTCAGGGACAAAATTAAAATAAGCAACTAATTCAGAAAATAAAGACCAATTCTTATTCTTCCATGCATGCCCAGGACCCAACCAAATGCCTGACCCATAAGAGCTCAATCAGTGTTTCTTGAATTACAAAATCAAAATTTAAGAGGTCATAAACAGGCTTTAATCACTGGAGCAAGCCTATCAAAGCCAATTTAATGGATCAAATACATTAAGGAAAAAAAACAAAATCAAAGAAAAAAGAATCTGAGGCATGTGACAACTTTTTTTTTTTGAAGCAAGTAAGATTAAGATAGCAAGCCTAATATTAATCTATGTGACAGCTGCCCCAAAGGCTCACAGAATCTTTTCTACTTCAGTGTTAGAAAAGGATTCTCAATATAGGAGGGGATAGCCTGCACTTCTTTGCTCCGTTAAAACCACACCTGGAATCATTTCTACAGCTCAAGGCATCACACTTTAAGGAAGACAATGACTAAATGCTGACTATCTAAAAGAGATGTCAAAATAGTAAAACTATTTACAATAATGTCATAGGAGATTTAGTTACAGTAACCAGATCTGTTTACCCAAGAAATGATAAGACTCAAGGTGATGTGATAGCCATCTTCAACTATCAGAAAGGATGTCATGTGTGACCAAGATTCAGAGAACAGAACTAGAACTGGGCACTGTAAGAAACAGATCTTAGAAACTACTGGAAAAACACACAAAAATGCATTGGAAATTAGACCTGTCCAAAAATGAAACAGGCCACCTCACAACACCGAGTTTTCCAGTTTCTGTATCAGTCCATCTTACCTCCTTACTTATGTTCAAACAAAAGTGGACAATCACTTACTTGACTGAACTATTAAACAAAGGATTGCAACAGTAAATCATAAACTATTTTAGAGTCCCCTCAGTCTTGCAATTCTTTGAAGTACAAATACAAGAGAATATACTTTGCAAAACATATTTTACAAAGATAGGTAATGGGTAGTTGTGTGGACGAGAAAAAAGAGGAACTCTTCCTCCAGTGTTTTCTGATACTAGTGCATGATCTCTGGATCTTAAAAGGATACAAGGTTGAGTTTTATGGGTCCTAAAGAAGTCGAATTTCTCTGAAAAAAATTTAAATGAGATGAAATCACATCTAAGAGATCAGATATGGTGTTTCCAATGATATGCAGCAAAATTCTCAATTCTGTAATATAATTCAGATACTCTGTGATGATTTAATAAATATTAAAATCAGGACTGCTATGCTTTTGATACTGAAGATCTATAGTAACTTCATCCTCCCCTGCACACACTGCAGTGGTTTCTCTCAGATATTTAAAAATCTTTAGCCGGCTCTTAGCTTCAACAATATTTTTGAAATGTATAATGAAAGTATAGTTTTTTACATTAAAGGGCTAAATTATCTTTTTAAAAAATTAAGAGCTCAATTACAATGGTCTCCCTTTATTCCTAGATCTGGGGCACAAAGGAAACCACTAAAAGGGTAGTTTACCAAAATCCAGAGACAGTGTGACTTAACTGCTCAAAATCAGAAGTGAGATCAGGGTTCACATCTCAACTTAGGCACCATGACCTGTGTCAGTATGACAGCCAGCAAATTACTCAACATAACCAAGCTGGTTTCCTTACCTATAAAAGGGGGCTAATAAAACTATCCACATCACAGGCTATTAGAATTAAATGACAATTAAAATAGTAAGAACTCACTGAATGTAGGTCATTGTTACTACTTTACCTAAATGAATTTCTAAATTCCAAATGATCATAGGTATTTACTCTGCCAATTTTCTTGATCTTGGCAACACTCAATAACAAATTACCAAAATTATGTATAAGTGCTCTTGTACAAGTGTTAAAAAAAAAAAGATTCCTGACATTTACTTTTTCAGATATTATGTTTTACACAGGAGTAAAAATAAAACATGGAATCAGAGCATCTTTGTTAATTCTAGACTCAATAGTTTAATGATAGCATCAAATATCAAATGACACAGTAATTAGAAGACTGCATTCTAGTTAGGTGTCCATGTTCTTACACACGACACAAGTACTAATTAAAAAGTATTGGGCAATTTGGAGCAGTAATAAAAAAGATGGACACCTTACACCGGCCAGGTCCTTAGTAGGCACTACTACTAAGAAACTAGGTAGTATTATTATTATGCCCACTTTAACAGATGAAGAAACTTAGGCAGAGACAGATTAATTAACCTGCCAAAGACCACAGTTAGTTAAATGGATGGAGGTGGGATATGAATCTAGACAATCAGGCTCAAAAGTCCACTAAACCACAGCCTCTTGAATAAACTCATCAAGTCAGACTAGTTGGATATTTTTCTAGCATGGACAGATTTCTTTGGGAGAGGAGGCAGACTACAACTGTATCAAAGCTGTTTTTCACTCTCAGTGAGTACATTTTAACACTTTTCCAACTAATCACAATGTAACTGCTGAAGAAAGTTGGCCCTATATAACAGGAAAAGAAAATAAATAGCTGAGGCAGCTAAGCTGTTAGTTTGGGAACCAACTGTTATCCAATATTCACATGACGTTTTCATGTGAACATGGGTCGACCAAACTCGAATAATCTGACTGACCCGTGTAAGTCAGTTCCACGCTGGCAGCAATGAAACTGCGTGGCCCACACCACACGGGGTCATTTCAAAAACCCTCCAGAGATGCCTGTTTTGCCAATCATCACGTTACTCCAAGACAGGACAAAATGGAACTTGCATAAACACTTAGTCATCAGTAAGCGCTGAAGTTACAAATCACCTAGTTCGCAAAATCAAATACGGAGCTAAATTTCCAATTCCAAAAGAAAGAAAAAGGGCTGACATTTGGTAACCATTGGGTGAAGGCACCTAGGGCCCAAGCGGAAGCGAATCGAACGGGGAAAACTAGCCGATTGACGGGGACGCCACGACCTGCGCAGCCAGCCACACGGGGAACACTGGGGACTTTTCAGGGCCCTTCCACTCGCCTTCCCACAGCCTGTTCTGACGTTACAGGCTGCCCCGACCCTACAAGTCTCCAGGGCGGATTCGGAAAGGCAATCCGAAGGCGGAGGTGACAGGCCTAAGATCGGAGCCCAGATCCAGGGGACCGTGGCAGCGAAGTTCTCGCAGCCCCGCAGGGGGGAGGGAACCCGCGGCGCCGCCTTCCGCTCCCCGGGCCCGCACCTGCAGAGTGGTGATGTGCTTGTCGTTAAACTTGTTCTCGCAGTAGCGCAGCACGAGCGACGTCTTTCCCACGCAGCCTTCCCCCAGCAGCACCACCTTGAACGAGTACGCTCGGCCCGCTGCCGCCCCGCCGCCGCCGGTCGCAGCCATCCCGCTCGCCGGCCGTCCAAGCCCGGAGCCGCGTCGAGCTCCCCAAACGCCGCCGCAAAGCCTTCACAGCCGCGGCAGACGCAGGCCCCTCGGCACCGGCCCGCCCACCCTGGGCGCCGTCTCCACTCCCGCCTCGGGGTGCGACCTGGAGGGGCCAAGGGGAAGTCCGAGAACGTAGGGGCCCAGCCACCACGTCAGGCACCCGAGGTAAGGTGGAGAGAGCTCCTTCTCCGCCTCCCTCTAATGGCGTCTCCTTCCTCCTACGTCACGTTCGGGTCACGTGAGCGCCGCGGCGGGGGCGGCCACTGGAACGCGGCCCGGAGCGCCTGCCTGGGCATGGGCGGGGCTTCACGGGCCTCTTCCCGGGCGGCGCCGGACAGGGCTGGAGCTCCTGCCGGCAGAGCCGGGTTGCCTGCGGGCACCACCGCTCAGTAGTTGGTGGGAACCTGCGTCCGGAAGGAATGAGTAATTGAGGCCAGGCCAGCTTAGTGTAATGCCGAAATGCGGAACGTTATGGTTCGCGCCCCAAAGAATGCTCGCAAAGCTAATTAATAACCTCTCAGACCCTGGGGTCTGTAAGCCAAATCTGCCAAAATGCCCTTCAATCTCTTGACAGTATTTCCTGTGGGATCCCAAATCATAGCTATTGAACTTCTTTCAGTTTCTCATGACTGTCAGGTCTCCTCATCTTTAAAGTCTCAGCTTACACGGGAAAGGCTTCCCTGACCACCCACCCTTCTTCCTCTGTCCATCTGTCCTCTCCTGCCCAAACCCCCAAGTTAAGTATTTCATAACACCATATACCCTCTTTAGCAGTGCTTACCACACTTCATGGAATTTACTTTGCTGAGTATTTGTCTCTCATTAGGCTGTAGATTTGTTAGCGATGAGAACTGTGTAAGACCCACCTTTGAATTTCCAACTCCAAGTGCCACTTAATTGACATTCGACAAATATTTGGGGATGAATGCACGATACATCTTAAGCTATTTTGCCTTGACTTCCAGTTTTACTGTCTTCCATGAAGATTCTGATATTCCATGTTGACTCCACTTTGATAGATCTGGCTTGTTTGATGATTGCTTATTTTTCCACATTTGGCTCCCCTTTCTTCCATGAAATACAGTTTTACAAGAAACCATACTCATGTTTCTGAAATTTTGCAACTAGAAATCTGGCGTCAGCCAGGATATTCTTTCTCATCAAACACCTTTTGTAACTCTCCAAACTAGACTCATTTATTCATTCAACAAATATTTAAAGGTGTTCACCATATACAAGGTACTGCGCTGAACAAGATAGAATGTCTCTGTCATCAAGAGTTTACATTTTAGCAGAAAAGACAGATACAGTCAATTATATAATGAATGCTTTCATCTTGATTGTAGCAGTTTAGGGTATTTTGCAATGGCCTGTGGGGACCCAACTGGTTTAGCATGCTAGAACCTTCCGGGAGAATGTTACCTTTGGGTAGGGGTAAGCTAGGCAAAACGGGAGGAAAGCTTTGCGAGCAGAGAGAACTACATGTTCTATAGCCCTGAGGTAGGAAGGAGCATCTCAAGTTGGGCAACTGAAAGTGTGATCAGAATACAGAGGGGAAAAGAGCCCCAGATGAGATTGGCAAGGAAGACAAGGGTCAGTAATGAAGTAATGAAAGGGCCTTTCAGCAAATAAAGGGTTTAAATCAGCAGGGCTGACAGAAGCAAATTAGACTTAAAAAAAAATCACCTGGCTTTACTTTGAAAAATGGATTGGAGGATAATAATACTTGGATTTATTTAGAACCAGTCTTTAGCGAAGACTTATGTTTTTATAAAATACTCTTCATTATTTCTGAGGATGTATTCTCTTCACTCCCCTCTGCCTTAACACATTCACGGATACTTCCAGAATTAGGAAGACACATCATTTTGAAGGGGCCAGATCCACTGTCCATTCTAAATTCTTCAGATTGAGGTCTGCCTGCAGTTGTTCTTGATTCAATTTACATGGCATGTATCTAATCTCTATGCTCTGTGAAATATCTTCATACATATGAAGAAAGCCATATGATCTTCCTTTAAGCTTTCTCTTCTTTTCAATATTGCCAATCCTCTCAACCGCTGTTCAAATTATATGAATCCCAAATTAGTTAATAGCTTGATTGTCCTAGAACCTATATATATGCAGTACTTAGCATTTATCACTGAAGCAAAACAATTAAAACATTTGTATTGTAAAATACTATAATTTTTAAAGGTAAAAATCATTTTCCAGGTTTAGTTTACACTGGAATTTAAGGAAAGTACTGCAAATGTTCACAGATTGCAATTATTGGGTTTGGCATAGCTCTGAGCACGACGGAGTGGGTAAATACAGATGTAAATTGTAGTAGATTGATAATGGCCCCCCAAAGATATCAGGTCCTAATACCTGTTGCCTGTATTTGGAAAAAGGATCTTTCCAGCGGTAATTAAGGATCTTGAGTTGGAGAGATTATCTTGAATTATCTGGGTGGGCCTTAGATGCAATCACAAATATCCATATAAGACAGAGTCAGAAGGAAATCCAACAGGCACAAAAGAGGAGAAGGCAACATAGCTAGGAACTCAGATATTGAAATGATGCAAGCCACCAAGGAATGCGGACAGCCACTAGAAGTTGGAAGAGAGAGGAAATAGATTTTCGCCTAGTCTTTGGAGAGAGTACACCACTCCCAACACATTACTTTTGACCTACTAGAACTGATTTTGGACTCCTGCCCTCCAGAACTGGAGGAGAGTAAATGTATGTGGTTTTAAGCCACTAAGTTTATGGTAATTTGTTACAGAAGTCATAAAAAACCCATACAACAACATGGATAGATCTAGAGGGTATTATGCTTAGTGAAATAACAGGCCGAGAAAGACAAATGCTAAATGATTTCACACACTAGAAGTTGGAAGAGAGAGGAAATAGATTTTCGCCTAGTCTTTGGAGAGAGTACACCACTCCCAACACATTACTTTTGACCTACTAGAACTGATTTTGGACTCCTGCCCTCCAGAACTGGAGGAGAGTAAATGTATGTGGTTTTAAGCCACTAAGTTTATGGTAATTTGTTACAGAAGTCATAAAAAACCCATACAACAACATGGATAGATCTAGAGGGTATTATGCTTAGTGAAATAACAGGCCGAGAAAGACAAATGCTAAATGATTTCACACTCATTTGTCGAGTATAAAAACAAAGCAAAACAGAAGGAACAAAAAAACAGTAGACTTACAGACACTGAGAAGAGATTAGTGGTTACCAAAGGGGAAGGGTTGGGAAGGGTGATGGGGAGGGAGAAGGGAATTAAGGGGCACTATAATTTGCACAGTATAGGTAGGTCACTGGGACAGTAGAACAACACAGAGAATACAGTTAAGGACTCTAGAACATCTTACTACACTAATAGTGACTGCAATGGAGGGGGTGAGGACTTGATAATATGGTGATTATTGAACCACTGTGTTGTGTATGTGAAACCATCATAATCATATATCAATGGTACCTTAATTAAAAAAAAAACTAATATGTAAGTTTATTGGGAGAAAACAAGTAGCCTACATTAGTACAAGCATTGAAAGAATTTCAGGTTAATTCCGGGAGAGATTCTGTGCTCTTAGGCACGTAGGTCAGCCTTGGAGTCAGCTATGATTGGTTTGTATAAACTTGATAGAGAATGCAAGGAAAAACTGGAACCCCAGTTCTTCCCTAGATAAGAGATGCAAAAATGTGAGGTCACCTTAGTGAATAGATAACTCAAGATAGATTCCTAATTGGTGAAGGTTGAGGCATGGCAGGGTGCAAATTCCAGTGCATATATAGCTCCTTTGTACCAAAAACAAATCCCCCTCCCTCCCAAAAAAACCCCACAAAAAAATGAAGCATGATTATATAAGTGAAATCAAGTTAATTATGAATATATAGCACAGTTCAGCAAGTGGAAAAGGTTGCTTCAGAAAGGTTGCCATGGAAAGTTCTAATTAAACTTCTTTAAAAGAAAAATAATCCTACCAGTTTTGCGGTTGTTTTAAGGTTGGGTTTATGGACTACTTTCAGCATATGTAATCCTAATTTTTTTTAATGGCCTTTTCATTCTCTCCCTGTTCTTATAAAATTTTTGTGAATTAAAATGAAACTCAAAGTCTCCATGTTCCCCGTCTCTAAATGTTAGTGGGCTTCCAGACACAGTTGTCTCCAATAAAACTCCCTTAAGGTGATCTCATCCAGTCCTATGGCTTGAAATATCCTCTACATGTTAATGACTCCTAAATTTACATCTTGCACCCCTAATCTCTCCCCTGAGCCCCAGATGTATATGCACAAATCCCATTTAACATATTCACTCAAGTGTCAAATAGACATTTCAAACAAAATATGTTTACATGGATCCCTCAGAAACAAACAAAAACAATAAACAAGTGGGACTAAATCAAACTAAAAAGCTTCAACACAGCAAAAGGAAACCATCAACAAAACAAAAGAGCAACCTATTGAATGAGAGAAGATATTTACAAATGATACATCTGATAAAGGGCTAATATTCAAAATATATAAAGAATTCATACAACATCAAAAATATATATCATAATAATAATCTGATTGAAAAGTGGGCAGTGGACCTGAGTAGACATTTTTCCAAAGAAGACATACATATGGCTGACAGACACATGAAAAGATGTTTAACGTCACTAATCATCAGAGAAGTGCAAATGAAAACCACAGTGAGTTATCACCTCACACCAGACAGAGGGGCTAATGTCAAGGTAAGAAATAACAAGTGTTGGTGAAGATGTAGAGCAAAGGGTAGTTTCATACACTGTTGGTGGGAATATACATTGGTGCAGCTGCTATGAAAAGTAGTATGGAGGTTTCTCAAAAAACTAAACATAAAAACATCTTATGACCTAGTAATTCCATCCTGGGAATTTACTCAAAGAAAACAAAATCACTAATTCAAAAATATGTATGGACTCCTACACTTATCAAAGCATTATTACAATAGCCAAGATATGGAAGCAACCTAAGTGTCCATTGATAGATAAATGGATAAAAAAGACATGATAGATATATACAATGAACTACTACTCAGCCACAAAAAATAATGAAATCTTGCCATTTGTGAGAACACAGATGGACCTAGAGGGTATTATGCTAAGTGAAAAAACCAGACAAATACCATATGATTTCACTTATATGTGGAATCTGAAAAACAAACCAAAATAGATTCATAAACACAGATGATAGACTGGTTGCTATAGGGGAGG